TCTTACTATAATTTATTATCACTTATGTATATATATATTTTATAGAGGACGGAGTGGCCGGCTTTTTTCTCCGGACAAAATTCTGCCAAAAACAAACACACACGTGTTCAAAAAACCTACAGTGCCCTCCCCACAGTTCCACAGGCTAATGGCCTCAGTTTTCGAAGCCTCAATCCCCCAAAATAAATATATATATTTTATACTGCAATATTAATGGATATTTTAACCATGTGAACCTCATGTAATTTTTTTCTCATCTGATCAAATTTACATAATGTATTACTTAATATAGATAATATTAGATATTTACTTTACATAAATAAAATTAATTAAATAAAAAAAAAAATTATAAAATTGTACAGTAATAAAACATAATTTTATTATTGTTGAAATATACTCAAAGGTGAAAAAAATCTATTATTGATTGATGAAAGTCGAACTGCGAAGCCGATAATGTTATAGTTTATTTAATGTCTGTTGACTTACAAAATTAATGGCAGCATCAAAGTCACTGAACTGAAATAAACTGCTTAGGTAATCTGTTTCAAACTTGCCACTAGCATAAAAGTTGAATATTTGTTAACATTTATTATTTGTTTGCTCATTATTTTATTTATCACTTGAAAAAGTTATAATATCGCTCAGTGGCTATTTAGGTGTGTCAATAAACAATTACTTATACCCACCTACCCCCATCGGATATTACTATATTAGAACTAAGTCGTGGGGGCAACCACCACCCACAACCCCACATTTTTTTAATCTAAAAAATATTTATCAAGTTATAATATTTACCGCATTATGTTTACATTTTAGCATTATTTAATATTTTAACAGTTAGGTTCATCTCCCCAAAATGAAAAGCAAGTTATTATCATATAAAAACGATATTCACAGTCACCGATTTTATAGTTATTTAAGCTTTTAGTTAGGTACATCATATCATTCCGTAATAATTAGAACTATTAAATTTTTTTTATATACCCATGTAAATATATGTATATTATTTGGTTAATGGTTTGGATAATATTTTTTTTTAGCATACTATTCTATAGTAATATATTAAGTAAAAATATTAATAATCGGTTTAGTTTTAATGTCAATATAATTTTCACTGATACTTATTTCGTTCTATACATATATCTAATGGCTAATAGCATAATATAGTAATTGTTAAATATTTTATTATATATTTATATTTATACTGCTGCAGCTATTTAAGTAGTTTATTTTACTAATAGTAAAACAATGTGTTAAATTAAATTTTGCTTAAAACATTGCATTATAAAACTTCATTGTATGTATAAAATATAAAAATATAAGTAAAAGTTATAAGTCACCACGAATAATGTTTTTGAATTATAACGAAATAATGAATATCGTTAATCTTCGTTTAAACATCTAATTTCGTCCAAGTTCCAATTAATATTACTATAAAAAAAAATATTTTTTGATAACAGTATTACCCACTTATGAGAAATCTAGTTTTAAATTTCCAATCTTTAGCTATAAAAATTGAACATTTTATACATTTTTAACCAAAAAAAAGATTTGCAAATGTTAGAGGTATTGACTAATTTTGTAAAAATCATACAAAAAAAAATAATCGTGTAAAGTGTATCTTCATTATTTAAAAATTGCTATTATAACAACTTATGAGGAACCTTGTATTAATTGTTCAAGCTTTTAGACCCGGGGAAAATTGATTGATTTTGTTTTTCAAAATTTCAAATGTCTTTAAATAGGTTAAAAAGAGTCGAAATATTTTGAACATTTTATCATGTAAATACAGACAATTAAAATATTTTATCATAATCATTTTGTGAAAATTTGAAGTATCTATTCATAGTTAATTTTTGAATTATATATAACAAAATATCGAAAATCGTTTGGGGAGAAATTATTAACTAGCGGTTGAATATCCATCGTAAAAAAATGAATTTCAAATGCTTATACGAAATGATTCCAGTGTTGGGAATAGATAACTATTACAAATAATAGATAGTAAAAATACTGATTACAATTTTTTTTTACCACATAATATTACACTTAAATAATAATATGCTCACATATTTCCAATTTGAACTAACCGAATATAATAATACGTGTTTTAATATTTTTCTTAGTGTTTCGTACATAACGTTTCTTTGAATTGTTTGTAAACCCTATGTCCTGCAAGTCACAACACCCACGACATGGCACATGTATATAACCAACGTACATATTGAGCACACTGCACACATAGGTACTGTCTGTATAATACCTAGTAATAGAATTGACATCGGGCATCACGCAAACACTGCTGCAGTGGGATGTCAACCTAGAACCACCAATAAATTATTATACTGTTATACATTTTACTACCCTTATAACGAATACTATTAATTTATAGAAACATAGTGTGTTTTTTTTTTGACATTGCTGACTAGCAGATAAATAGGTGCAAATACTATTTTAGTCGCAGCCAATAAATTGAAGTCCTTGGGTAAATAACTAGGAGGTTATAGTATCATTTTTTTAAGACTTCAAACTGCATGGTTATTAGCTAGTTTTTTCTGTGGACAATATTCCACACCATTATTTTTAACTTGCAATTCACTATGTCATGCGAGAGGTTCAAAAATAAATCAAAAATGAACTTCGTTTTTTTGACAATCGGCAACCCCATTTGGTTTATGTAGGTGCTGCCACACCTAATATACATGGGTTCGGCGCCACTGAATTATCGCTCTACCAGCAAAGCAATTAATTCTTGTATCTAAATAATATGCATTTATACAATTTATGTAAAAATCAAAATTATTTTTTTATCTATATGTAGGTAAATAATATATGTATAATATATTGTGTAGTGTCTATACCTACTATAGACTAACAAAAACAATGTACAATAATAGATATTTTATAGAACAGCGAAATAGATTTATTTAACTAAATAATACTTATGGCGAAGTTTCTACCAATTTGTTATAATAATAACATATAATTTATAATATATTATATAACTACATATTGGCAATTGCGTACTACGGTTTCTATATTGTTAAAAATGTACCTACTATTCGGTAGCTCTGAAGTCTGAATCCCATATGTGGGGATCCGCTTTTACAGATAATATAATCGAGTAGAAAACTTATCCTAATTTATTATTACGACCATACGAATTGCGAATTTAGGGCCATTGTATGGTCAAAAAACATTGTCCTAAGTGCTTTTTTAAAAGTTCGTGGTGGTACAATTAATAGGTAATGTAAAACTTTTATTTTACAAAAGGGTTCTTATACTTCTAAGAGATAATGTATATTGATGTTTTCATGTCCGATCGTTGTGACCGAAAACATGATATGTGTATTTGTCATTAACATTAAATAAAGTTCTTATTTTTTATTCATACATTTTAGTAAATTTGTTGTTGTAGATAAATCAGTTCGAAGCGTTTTCAGTGGAAGGAATCTTCACATCTTCACCTACTTACAATCAACAGACACACTTTTTGAAAATATAAAATTTACAGACAATTTATATAGTAGTTTACAGAAAGTTAATCAATAATAATACTATCCTATTTATTAGCGTTGAACCCATTTAATTTGTATTATTATAGGTAGGTACCTACATCCCTAAATTCACAATTCATTATTTTGCATTCAATTTTAACGTTTTTATTTAGGAATTTTAAATAATGTATAAATAATTGGGTAGTATGTGGCTATAGCACATACTCTATAGATTATTGCCACGTCTAAATAATATTATTTAAAAGAATAAATTACGAGAGTGGATAACTTAAAATTGTTATACAATTTTGATTTAGTTTATTATAGTATCAACGAAAAAAAAATTGTACAGGTGTTGTATACTTTTTATGGTGTGGGATTAGAAAATGATATCTTTGTAATACCTATTTTATTTAAATTTTATGTTGCACTCCATAAAACTCATAACATGTACCTACCTATACAACCATATTGCTCTGATGTTCATCGCTGATTATCATTATACAAATATTACACACCTAACCTGTGTTATTGAATTTCATTGGACTTATTTTATTTTAAAAATGTAGTGTGAAGTATAAGTAAAAGTATATATATGTATACTATGTAGTATAATGTTACAGGTATCATGTATATTGCACAGTATGTGAAAATTATATATTAATACCATTGATAAAAAAAAAAAATTGTAATTCTCAATAATTTTGTTAGTTTCATCCCACACGTAAATACAATATTATATTCACTATAGTGCAGTAACACAATATGTAAAATAACATACATCGATGTTATCCACATCCAGTTACAGGTGTATTTAATATAATATTTACGAAAATATTATGTACCGTTGACGAATATCCAAGCAAAATAAAATCGAAACCAAATAGTTCTTACTCGAAATAATACCCTCATACTGTATAATACAACATTAAGATAATAAGATTATCGAAAATTTAATTTTTAAAAAATGAGGAGACCAACGATTTTTTTAAAAAATACAAAAACGATTTAATATGTAAACTCTTTCCTCTCTAATAAATAATATTTATTTTTTTTTTGTGAATCGTTCGTATTCTTAGTCGTCAAATATTTTATGTTCATCGTCATTGTATACCGATCCTCCAAAAAAATTGTTATTGGTACCTATACGCGCCTTATAGTATATTTTTAATTTTGTTGAGTGTACCGTTCCCATTTGATGCGATCTTCTACCGTAAATAATGATTTAAACACTATAATTTTCCTTATTGAAAACACCAGCTGTCTGCAATGCGTACTAGATGGAAATACGAAAATATGATTATTGAATCTAATGAATAGTGTCCTAAAATGTAAAATATAGTGTATGTGAAAAAATAAAAATACAATTTAAAAATTGATTTTTGTCGAAAACCGTGTGTATGTGTGGGGTAATATATAATATATAATAGTATATATTATACTATATAGGTAATATATAATAGTAATTCTACATAATATTATAATACAGTATAACCAACGACTCTACTTGGCGTTTGCCGCCCTGAGAGCATTGACTCCCGAATATGAGACCTTGAGTACAGACAGGAACAGTGGTAGGTTGGCTATGAACACCTTGCCGACAGTTAACTGTAACGGCGTCTGCGTCCTGGACATCACCATCGTCAGCGACTGGCGGAAGCGCACGGGTTGTGCGTACCATGCTGCCGAGTACGAAGCCCTCAGCAGGCCCATGTGCGCGTCCTCGACCATGCTGCCGTACATGCAAAATATGAACAACTCTGCCAGGTAGTTGGAGAGCGTCAGCAGACCTTTGACCATGACGAACCGGTTTCCCACGAATATCATGTTGAACGCCGACAGGCAGAAGTAGAGCGTGCTGAACATGAGCTCCAGCAGTATAATGTATCCGTAACTCTCGTTCAGCTGGTCCTTGAAGTGAATCAGCCGGTCGTGAAGCATCACGCAGTTCTTCACGTGGTCCAACAGCTTCTGTTCGGTGGTCTTGTCCGTAGACTGGTCGTACTCGACGATCTCGACCGCGTGCTCGACGTAGGCGGACAGTATCTGGAACTCGGATATCATTTGGCTGACGAAGAACGAAAACGAACACATGATTCCGGTAATGATGAACTTTACGGTCACGACGATTAAGAACTGTATCACATACGAGAACGCATACATCCCGACCTGCAAAAACGTAATAGTAATGAAAGGTTCTTGAAAAATTGATTATACTATTAGGTAGGTATACATTATAGAAATATAGCACCCTCAAATGGGCTCAACTAGGGTTAAAATTCTGGGGGGGGGAACAGCCCACCTATAACAAAACTATTAATTAAAAATAACCCATAGACGACTTATATCTAAATCAATAAGGATTTATATTTGGGGAGGCTAAATCTTAATCACTGGGTTCGCTAAGTCCCCCCTTAGTTTCACCACTGCACCCACATCAATCTCCTGTTATAATTATTGTAGACAATTAGATCAAAATTTGATTTTCATACGATCATCAAAAATTATTGTGACTACGATAAACTATTTTTTTAATTGCTATTTGATAAATTGATTATGAACCTTGTGTCAAATTTTCAAACTTTTTGATTAAGAAAATTATAAATATTGAATCCACATGAATTGAAAAAAACTCAGAAAAGTAGACAATTTAAAATATCTATAAATATCTCAAAAAGACAAAACTATTTTTAGTTCTAGAAAATACTCATATAAATATTTGGTGAAAATTTTAGGTCCATTCGGTGTTTTCCTTTATGAATTACTGTTTTTCTTCTGGTTAAATTTTTGTTTTTTTCTGATTATTTGGGTAAGTATCGCGAATTTTCTATTTTTAACTAATCTCTCCTCCCCCAAATAACTAACTAGATCAAATCTTCTACCATACACAATCCTAAAAGCATTTTTACTGTTCCAAAACGATGATGACGGATACAAACAATAAAAAAACATGGAAATAAACAAATAAATATACACTCTTTGTGCGAAGATATTGGTTCGAACATTTCATCAACCTTTGAAACAATAGAAAAAATTCGCCCCTATATTGATGATCGCTCAACGAAAATAAGGCTAACAAAACTTAGAAATCTATTATTCCAAAGTCTACCTCCAGGACAAAACCAATCTTCCTAATCTTCACAACCAACCGTAGTACATTATACTAAATATATATTAATAAAAAAAAAAAAAAAAAAAAAAAAAATTAATAAAACAAAAATATGAGCATAATTCAATGGAATATCGATGGATTCTATAAACGCAACGTAGACATCCAACGAATATTATATGACCTCAAACCTAATATTCTATGTTTCCAAGAAACTAATTTAAAACATACACAGTCAAGTCAAATTAAGGATTACAATGGATATTTCAAAAACCGCGTAAACCCAGGTAGAGCAAGCGGAGGTATAGCAATATTCACCAAAGACAACATAGAAAGTGAAGAAGTACACTTAAACACACACTTAGAAGCTATAGCAGTATCTATCAAACTCCAAAAACAAATTTGCATATGTAACATATACCTTCCCGACAGCACCCCTCTCACCCTTCATGACTTATCGCAAATAATATCACAACTACCTAAACCCTTCGTTATCTTAGGAGATTTCAATAGCCGCAACACACTATGGGGCTCCTCATACACTGATAATCGAGGTAAGATCATGGAACGTCTTCTAGAAAGGTCTGATCTAATACTACTTAATAATGGCAAACCCACAAGACATAACCCAGTCAACGGTAACTTTTCTGCAATCGACCTCTCTATTGCATCTCCATCAATCGCACCTGACTTAGAATGGGATACACTCACATCATACAACGGAAGTGACCATTGGCCCATACTACTCAATTTATTCAGCTTTACCCCCAAATCTGTTCCAATAAACAAATGGAGACTCAAAAACCCAAACTGGAACCTCTTCTCTACTTTAGTAGACCACTCATTACAAAATTCTGTGACCGATGAAGATACCCACATCACCCGCATCACACAAAATATAATCGATAAACTCACACTTAAACTAACAAACTCTATCATTGGAGCAGCCACTGTTGCAATAGGAAAATCCGACCGTCCAGCCCCTCACAAAATAGTCCCTTGGTGGAACGAAGAATGCAAAACAGCTATAAAAAAATATAAAAAAGCCCTAAATCATTTTAAAAAAACCAAGCTAACATCAGATCATATCCTCCTTAAAAAAGCACGTGCAGAATCCAAGTATATCTTAAAAAGAAGTAAGACCTCTTCCTGGAAAAAATTCACATCAACCATCAATAACCAAACACATTCAACAACCATCTGGAACAAAATCAAAGCATTCAAAGGAACAAAATACCATCCGATACCTAAGATACTCCACTATGAACACGATAACAACCAAATAGAACTATCATCACCTCGCGACATTGCCCAATCATTTGCAAATCAGTTTAAGATTAACAGCAGTAATTCAAACTTTGATAATAACTTCACCATTTACAAAAACTCCAAGGATCAAGCTTTCAATATAAACACATACATACATAATAACAACAGTGAACACAATCACCCCTTAACAATTAAAGAACTATACTCTGAATTAATCAACTGCACTAGCAAAAGTTCGGGACCTGACGATATACCATACGTCTTCATCAAAAACCTCTCCGAATATGCGCTTACTAAACTACTGGCCATCTACAACATCATCTGGACTCATGGTATTTTTCCCAACAAATGGCGCCAAGCAATTGTTATTCCAATCCTAAAACCTGGAAAAAATAAGTTTGACATCACCAGCTACCGTCCAATATCCCTTACCTGTACACTTTGCAAACTACTAGAAAAAATTATAAATAGACGCCTAATTTGGTATCTAGAAACATCACATCAATTTATCCCCCAGCAATACGGCTTCCGCCGCAACCATTCTACGCAAGATGCCCTAGCCACCCTACACACCAACATAAGCGAATCCTTCAAAAAAAATCAACATACCATCCTTGTCGCTCTTGACTTGGAAAAAGCGTACGATATGGTCTGGAAAAACAGAGTCATTGATATTTTATCTAGTTGGTCCATAGACGGCAACATGCTAACATTTTTACACAATTTTCTATCCGACCGAACAATTCAAGTCAAAGTTGAAAACACTCTATCTGATCACACAACATTAGATAATGGATTACCACAAGGATCGGTTATCAGTGTTACATTATTCCTAATCGCCATAAACGATATTTTCAACAACATTCAAAAACCCGTCAAGTACACACTATTTGCCGACGATTGTAATATTTATTGTAGTGGCACTGACACCAGGTCCACTGTAGCCCTCCTACAAAACGCTATCAACTCACTTGTACAATGGTCCTCATATTCTGGCTTCAAATTCTCACCACATAAAACCCAATGCATAATCTTCAACAAAAAGAAAAACAACACACTTCACCATATCTATATTAATAACATTCCAACAGTTTACACAGACAACATCCGCCTACTCGGAATGATATTCGATACCAAATTTTCATGGGCCCCTCATCTCAAAAAACTAAAAACAAACTGCAACGCCAAAATTAAGATCATCAAAATTCTTTCCCACCACATATGGGGAGCAGATAAAAACAGCCTAATATTAATTTACAAAGCACTGATTTTATCAAGAATAGATTATGGCTCCATTATCTACAATTCAGCCAAACCAAACATTAAACATATCATCAATCCAATCCACAACCAAGCAATCAGACTAGCAATAGGTGCTTTTCGTACCAGCCCTATTGACAGCATTCTATGCATTTCAGGGGAACCCCCACTACAAATCAGAAGAAATAAAAATATACTAAAATTTGTTACAAAAAAACTTAGTTTCCCCAACCAAACAATATACAAATTATTCAAGTCACCCACCCAAATCTACACGCTCAAAGAACCAGCTACAATTATGGAAACTTACACACGTATATGCAAGGAATCCAACTTCCATCTCAACATCGAAGTGTCATCTCCGTTTCTAACAACTCCATTCTGGCTATATTCCACTCAAGTTCACACTCAATTATCAAATTTCAACAAAAACTTCAACCCTCATTCCATTATTACCTCAAATTTCAACGACATCATAAACTCAGATTTCCATGACTTCAACCTGATCTACACAGATGCATCAAAAAACATAACAGGCACAGGCTGTGCATTCATTTCTGGATCCGTAAAAAAACTATACAAACTACCTACTGAAGCCAGCATCTTCACAGCAGAAATAACCGCCATCAAAGAAGCAACTATCTACGTCGAATCCACCCTCATAAAAAAAGCCCTTATCATAAGCGACTCTCTCAGTGCCTTAACTTCCTTACTATCTCCTAATCCGTCCAATGAAATCTCTCAACAAATAATCAATATTATAGCTAACTCAAAAAATACTATAGAGTTTATGTGGGTCCCGTCACATACTGGTATCAAAGGCAACGAAGAAGTCGACCTACTAGCGAACCAAGCTATATCATCCACTGAATCAACTGTTATAAATTCGCTACCATATAAAGACCTTTCAAGAATAATCAACCTAATCTCAAACAAACAATGGCAAACACAATGGGACCACACCTCGGATAACAAATTAAAAAATATAAAAGAAAACCATACAGAAATGGCGATCCCCCATAAACACAACCCGTAAAGCAGATATCGTCACAACCAGAGCCAAAATTGGCCACACACATCTCACCCATTCTTTCCTTTTCAACCATGATGAACATCCAACCTGCCATCAATGTGACCTACCACTGACAATTGAACATCTCACACTCAGCTGCACCAAGTACAACCATGAACGAAGCATCTTAAACTTCCCCTCCAACATCGAAGAAGCACTCGGTGAAACCAACACCGATGCCATCTTCAACTTTTTTAATGCCATCAAAGTATCCAACCTATTATAAAAATCTGCAAATACTACTGTTTTACCTTTTTATTTAACACTACTATTTTATTTTATTTATCTACTCATTTTGTTTAATTTTCATGTTACTATGTACATAAGACTTTATAAATATTTCTAATCTTAATCTACCATTGTAAACCTTTTCAGGCTAATGACCACCGTTGTTATTGACCACCGCCTTATTCTTAATAAAAAAAAAAAAAAAAAAAAAAAAAACACATATTTTTAAAATCAATATATTGGTACATTCGTGGTTGGGGATGAAGGAAGTATTGTAATTTACAATTGCAGTTTTATTAAAAGTTGACTATAGATTTAGGATTATGCATGAAAAAATATGTATTGTCCTTTATTTACCGAGACTTAATGCTGCTGTATATAATATACAAATATTATACCAAAGTACCCAACGAAGAGTATTTGTATAGCACCTGGTAAATATAAAAAAGTTTTGTTTTAATATATCCCAAAATATCCTCTATAACAATGCAATTATCTTATGTATATGTGTATAAAAGGTTATTTATTGTGTTATATTTTATGATTCTATGTATTAAGTGTTGAAGTGTAGGTATAAAATATAAAATATGGTTTGGTCTTAAGTTTAGTATGAAATTTAAAAAAAAGGTGGGCAAGTGGGTATATTTCTGCTGTATAATAGGTTATTGTGGGTCACTGTAATCAGTGTAATGGATAGTATTAAATTTGTATTCAATGATATAATATCATTGTATATAAAAAACGATTCTGAACAAAGACGGTCAGTCAGCCTATGATACACCTATTAGTAAGTATATTTGATGATATTATTGTGAATCAGTGGCGTAATTACGGGGGGGGATTTGGGTGTCGTATCCCCCCCCCTTGACCATTTTTTTTTTTTTTTTTTAATCGTCAAACACATTTATGTACTAATTTTATTAATGTATATTTCATAGATAATACAAAAATCACCTGAATCTCCATAATATTATACAAATATATAATCATCCATCAATATTATCATATACAGTGTGATCACGATTTTAGGTACCACTGAATATCACAGATGGATGACTTTGTATTGAAATGGGGTTTTCGGGAGGTGATAGGAGCACTTAAATACATATTTTCAGACCAGTTTCAAATTTTTAGCTCACTCGGTACCGGACTAAGTGTCGGTACTTTTTTTTAAATTTCAACCCCAGTTTTATCTGCAGATTCAGGTAGAGTATTTATTTTTGAACATTTATTGAACATTTATGCATAATTCGTGTTTAATGATATTTTCATTTATAACCAGTTGAAATAATAAAATAAGAGCCAAATAAATGTTTAATGGCGGACGGAAATCGGCCACAACCGACGCCTTAGTCCACTCAGCCACCCCCCCCCCCCCCTAATCAAACATTTATTTGGCACTTATTTTATTATTTCAACTGGTTATAAATGCAAATTGCATTAAACACGTATTATGAATAAATCCAAAATTTGACTTTCTCTAACTTGGTCAGTTTTATAAATAGAAAAACTTTCAATACAAAAAATGTTTAAAAAAAAATACTCTACCCGAATCTGTAGAAAAAAAGTGGGGTTGCCATTTAACAAAAAGTAAGTAAAATTGCGCATGCGCATACCCAGTGAGCTAAAAATTTTAAACTGGTCTGAAAATATGTATTTAAGTGCTTCCTATCGGCTATCACCTCCCGAAAACCCCATTTCAATACAAAGTCAGCCATCTGAGATATTCAGTGGTACCTAAAATCGTGATCACACTGTATATACAATATTAGTTATTACTAGGGGCCGGAATTATATTCTTTTAAAATAGCCAAAATAAGATGCTAATATTCTCTTAAAAAGTTAAAAATATTCTTCCAATATTCTTTAAAAATAATAAAAAAATATGCAAAAAAAAATGCTTTTTTATTAAAATATTCTCTTGAACTAAAAATATGCATTTATATGCAAAATAATTAAGCAAATAATACGAACTCATATAAGTAAATAGGTACATAATATGCAAAATAATATAAAAACCTGATATAAATAGGTACCTACATAATAAAAAATACTACTTGTTACGAAAAGTTTGATTTAATATTTAATTATTTTAAATTTTTAACTAAGAAAATTTTTGAAAACAGTTGACAACTATATTTTGTTCCATGTTCCCTGATGTCATATTTGTACAACGGTCGGTTAAAATGTTTTTATATGTGCTATTTATATTATTTAGGCCACTGCAACAAAAAATATCGAACATCTACAAAAATTAATCGATATATTCTCTAATATTTTTTATTATACGAAATATTCTTTTATCTTGAAATATTCCCAAATATGCAAAATAAACTTTTGCCATTAACTCACCTGTTTCATGATTTGTAAAGATTTCGAACCCCCGTCTGACTGCATAGACTCAAAAAAAATATGCAAAAGAATATAATTCCGGCTACTAGTTATTAGTTATTACATACAGATCATAATGGTTGTATTATTGTATTGAGGGGTGCTTATTGCTTATAGCTTATGCCTTATACGATTAAAAAAAAATGTTGAGGGGGGGGGGGGGGTAATTGGTGAAATGTACATACATTTCATCCCCCCCCCACAACCATGACCAAATTACGCCACTGTTGTGAATGAAATAATTTCTCTACCTATTTACGTGGAACCTTGTTTTACATTTTTAATCCTTACCTAGCTATAAAATTTGAATATTTTATACATTTTTAAATTTTAAATTTGATCATTAAATGCTTATAAAAAAAAATTTATTTTTAAGACTTTTTAACTGCTATTGTAACTATATATTAGGCGGCTTGAATTAAATTATCGTGCTTTTTGGCCCAACAAATCACATTTTATTGATATTTATTTATAGAAAAAAAACTAAAAAAAATTAAATGGTCCGTAAACAGCTCAAAATGTTTTTAGGATAAAGGTAGATAACCTTTTAAGGAATCTTGTATTCAATTTTAAAATCTTAGATTTAAAATGAAACATTTTTAAGAATTTCTAACTAAAATAATTTTCACATTTTAGTAATTTTTACTTTATTTGTCAACATTCGAGCTAAATGTTTATGAAAAAAAATTGAGACTGTAAATGATATTTTTCAACTGTCATTGTAACAATATAATATGAGACTTTTATTAAATGTTCAAGTTTTTACCCAACGAATAAAATTTAATTGACAATTTATTATAGGAAAAAAAAACTAAAAAATTGGAAACTGAAAATGTCCGTTAACCGCTCAAAACAAGTCAAAATAATTTAAAAATTGTATCATGTACAGAAAAATGAAAATTCTAATATAAAATTTTTATTTATATTTTATCAAAATCCGATTAGAGTACAATTTGCAAAATGCACCAACTAGTTTCACTTTCCCATCGAACAAGATACTGTTGAAGAAAATCGAATCAAGTGTACTACCAAACGGTTATGACAGGCAAAAAAATAATATTAAAAAACACACCATTGTAAAATCGAATCAATCATTACTCCGTTCAGAATCTAAAATGTTGACGCTTTCATAAAATACATATTTTAAATGACCACATAGTAGGTATATGAAAAATGCTAGGTCCACAAATAGAACACAAAAATTAACATATATTTTAGTAAGATATAACAATAACAAAACATAATAATTAAAATTTCTTTTAAATGTTTTATGGGGAAACCGAAAACTGATAAATGTGTTCTATTAGATGTTGAAACAAAATGAAAAAAAAAATTATTATGTAAAACTCGACAGTTATATTACAAAAACATAATAAATTAGGGAATTATTTTTGGGACAATGTAAATACCACAGTACGAGTATTTATATAGTTAAATACTTAAATACATTTTTTAGACATTATTATATGCACATGTCATAAATCATAAAATGTCGACTCCAGATACTATGAAAACTGATTAGTTGTCAAGCATAGAAAAATGTAAGTAGTCGGTTAATAAAATAAAAGGCAATTGAATTACCTTTACGGATCTTGTTACAAAATACCTTCAAATTAATTATTTTTATCTATAGACACCAATATAATTGGTTTATCTTTATCTAAATAAAAATGATTTATATTTTTAACCCAAATAAAATTGTATTTATTTGAGTTTAATAGTCGTTTAACGTAGGTATAAAGGTATGGGTTTTTGATATTATTATATTAATAAATATTTCTCATTCATACCAATATACCATGATGTAACTAATTTATTTATGTCACGATTCATACGAAAAAGTAAACACTAATACTGCCTAGGTATGTAAACAATACCATTTTTTTAAATTTTATATTCACCTGACTTGTATCGGCCGGGAACCACAGGACCACCATCTGCGTGCTTTGTGAACCCAACTTGACGTCGGTGAGACTGGCGGCTGCCAGCGGCACCATCCCCGTGGCCGGTATCTCGAACAAGACCAGTGTAAGATACGAGACGATCACCTTCATCGTGAAGTCGCCGTGGGACGTGCGTATTGCCGCCATCTTGCGCTTCAGTACATCCGGCATGGGCCTGTTGTAGCCGGGAAATTCGTCGACGACCATCAGCAGCATGGTCCGGTTGAAACGTTTCGTCCGGATGGCGAACGTGATGATGGCCAACATGAACACGCATATCACGAAGTACGTGAACGACTCGAGCGCTTTTTTGTTGTCGGCGATCAACACCGAAGTCATGGTCATCCCCGACGTGATCATGATCGTCGAAAACTGAACGGTCCTAAGCACCGTTTCGGTTCTGGACAGACGGTCCGAGGAAGAGTCGAAAAACACGCTCCATCTGATGCAAAACTTTTGGAACGGCGTCAGAATGAAACGTTCGGGCTCCTGCATAACGTCTATCGCGCCAACAAACGGCCGGTCGGATGGCATATAATAAATAATATGATATACACCTACATAGGTAAACCCGTCATATTATGTTGTGAGTACCTGACACATATTTATTATAGGTACTTAGTAATATAGTATAATATACAATGTTCATATTATCAAAAATGTTTCCAGCTAAATGCAATGTATCGTAACTATTATAAACATACTGATGCGGTAGAATCATAATAATATATTATAATATCATATTAAAATACTTTTGAAATAGGTACAATTACAATTCAAAAATATTTTTAATACTTTCTTGTCCAGTTATACAAGACCAGAATTTGTTAAGAAAAAATCTTTTTTTTGGCTTATAAGTTTATTTTAGACTGAGTGGAACGATGAATGTATTGATTTTACAATGATGTGTGTTTTTATATTTTATTTTTTATTTTTGTATTTTTGTGTCTATGTACACGATAAGTAGTCGAAATAATGCTTCGATTTTCAACTTCAGTATCTTGTTCGATTGGAAAGTGTATATTGTTGGTGCATTGGGAGGTTAAAATTTAAATTTCTCAGTAATTTTCAAAAGCGAAAAGAAAAACAAAAGAATAATTAAGGAAAAACGGGAATTTTTATGCAAAATCGATTTTTCATAAAATCGAATTTGGTTTTTGGTGTAACTTTCAAACAAATGACCGTAGATACATGCAATATTCAATGGTTGTTTATATTTCCATTTTCTATACAATTTTCAAAATATTTTGAACTGTTTAGGGACATTTTCAGTTTCCCATTTTATTAGTTTTTTTTTCTATGAATGTCAATAAAACTTTATTTGTTGAGTAAAAATACTTGAAAATGTTATACAACGCTCCTACTATATTGTTACAATGACATTTGAAAAATATTAAAAATCCTTACTCATAATTTTTTTTATAATCATTTAAAATTGACAAAATATGGAAAAATCACGAAAATTATCAAATTATTTTGAGTTAAGAATTCGTAAAAATTTTTCTTTTTAAATCTAAGATATTAAAATGTAATACCAGATTCGTTATATGATTATCTACCTTTATCAAAAATAAAATGTCTATAAGAAAGTCAAATTAAATTTTTATGAGCGTTTGAAATTCAAATTTTTACAACATTAGATATTCACATGATTTCTCATATAGCGATTTTCTTATTTTGTTGTAATTTAAAAACGAATAACTGTAGATACATGAAAATTTCACTGAATGTTTATTTTATCAATTCTTATACTTGATAAAATATTCTGACTCTTTTTTAGCTGTTTACGGACAATTTCCTATTTCAATTTTTTATTTTTTTTTTCTATAAATATCAATAAAGTTTTATCTATTAGGCCAAAAATGTAATAGAAGGCTCCTGATATACTGTACAATAGCAGTTGAAAAAATTTTAAAAATACATATGCACAATTTTGTTTTATAAGCATTTAAATATCGAGTTTTGACAAAATGTATCAAATTTAAAATTGAATAATTATTTTGTAGTTAAAAATGTATAAAATGTTCAACTTTTATATCTAATGTTTGAAATTTAAGACAAGATTCCACGTAAGTAGTTTATTCTGTTACCAAAAAATCTAAAAAATACATAAGCACGGTTTATTTTTATAATCATTTTAAGTTCAAATTTGGACGAAACTACATACTACAAACGTAGAATAACTATTTTAGTAATTTTGTTGTGATTGGATAATATTATTCATGGGTAATTGAAACTTCTAAAGTATACTATTATATATCTATTATAGTATCACGGTTTGTTGTTGATGTATAACAAGTTATAAGTAATAAGTACCTAATGGCTATTGTGATATGATTAATTTGGAATTTAATATAGGTACAATTTTTTTTTAATACCATATAGATAAGTATATGTATAGTATATGTCTTATACCTGACTGACATACCATCTCTGCTCAGAATCGTTTTTCTTATACAATGATATTATATCATTGAATTCAAAATGAATACCATCCATTATACAGTGACCCACTTGTAACCTACTGTACAGCAGAGCGATTTATTATAATTGAGTTGAGACATAGTATCAAATATCAACGTTGAACATACATTCCCCAAAGGATTTAGCATACAAGTATAATTCGAGTCAACCATTAGTTGCATACGTCATATTATGTTAATTTTCACAAAATCGAATTTTTATTTTTATATATAGTTTTGATGGCCCCTTCTTCTGTAAAAATCTTAAGATTTTAAACCTATCTCTGGTATATTATATTTAGTTTCAAATGTAAAAATGAGGTGTAGTTTAAAATCCACAAATTTTCCATCACTGTTTTTATTTGTATATTTTCTGTTTCTGCATACTATCTGAATATGCAACTGATCGAAGAATCATTCCATTAAGGCTTTTTTTTTTTTTTATATTTTGTAATATTTAATATAAAATAATAAAATAAGTATTTCGAGTATAATTTAAAAACTTAATTTTAAAGCATAAAAAAGTACTTACTTTACAATTATGAAAATATCCACTTTTTACGAATCACCCTGCTGACGAAACGATAGCAGACCTAGTGATTGTACCATATTGTATAAACGTATGTCTGAACACCTATTGAGTTCCGTGACATCATGAGTTATCATATATCCTACATATTATTTTCTGTCTGTAATACTAATAAATAATTATACGTTCTTGTTATACTATATAGACTTTTGTCAAAATATATTCTTTGCGTAGATAATATAATATTATATACCCCCAAATATTATTTGTCTTAGCTGTTTGTCTTTTAACGTTTGTATTGTAGCACGCGCACATCATGTAAATTATTACGTAGAAAATCGGTCGGGTTGAATATTTGATGTGTCTCAACTCAAACTGTATTCTTACACCTACCCGTAAATAATAAGACCCATATGAACATGCGACACGATCTGTGTCAATGCCTCAAGGACATAATATTATACGTAAATTATTAATTTGAACGAATAAAAATTATCGAAAACTTTTTTTCACCCAATGCGAAATGTTTACTTTCCATGTTTTGTACACTGAAAACAAATTTAATAATCATATGAGTAGGTACAATGAAAGCATTATACACTTCGTCTCAAATGACTCAAGTGGTTTTTATTTATGATATTATTACGGTTTATTGCTATTATGCAAATATGCAATACGTTATGTCTTTATTACTTATTACATAAAAATAAATAAATAAATACAACTAAAATATTTCATACCAATCATCTTTGACAATTTATTTTCTATAATTATTTTCAAGCTAAATAATATTATAGGTAAACCTTAATTTAACAATCATATAAACCTAAGATAATAACATTTAATGATATTTAGCTAACAAACAATACACATATCATATTATAATATATCGTATTAGTATCTGTATAACTGTAAAACTTTCCTAGGTATTTGCATTTACTAGGCTAAACCTACTAAACAATATGTAAACGAGAGTCTACATGAAATACATCGTCACTGTACCAAACACGTTATTATAATACTAACTGTTTTTGATATTGTAAATAATTTTCAATTTTTATGTTTACTTACACTATTTGAATTTTCACTGCATTTAAGAATAAAATACATTGTGATATACATTCATCATATATACAACTGTATTGTATGTATAATGTATGATGATTATTGATCATAAAAAATAACACCAACATTATTTAAATTTGAACCATCTCATGGAGATTAAATATAAATTACTTGTTTAACATATTATATTATATTATATTTTATACATTCACAAAAAAAAAATAAAAAGAATCGATAAAGACAATGACTTTGTAACAAAATATTCAAAAACAAAAATCAATATTTTGTCAAGAACATTATATCTATTACTCCTATTATAATTAATCCAAAAAAGTAAATATAGGAGACTTTAAGTAGCGTATTATATTAACCTATGTTTTTACCAACTATATTATGAGAAAAATTTATAAATTATGTATATACTTAATAGGTATTGTGTTTATATAAACTCAAAAGTCAAAATTAATAAATATTATCGTATAATATTATAATTCATAATATAATAACCGTAAACATTATAAAAGATTAGATATTAACACAAACAGTTTATTTACTTATTTTTCTTACGGCTTTTTGAAGGAATAATAATATGATATCTATGATCAAAAGTCGTTGAACTGTAGTTAGTTCACAGATTGTACCGGATTATCGTGTAGGTACATGTATATAAATATAAACTGAACTTTTGAAAGGAATAATTACAACTCATGTGTCTTGTCACTATTTCGCCTTTAAGTTTAAGTATTCTTGTCGTTAATATCGCTGTCATTGCACAACGTCGTAGTAACTGTGACGTTCTCTTTGACCAGACCGTCATCGTTCGTGTTACCATTCTGGGCAGATTTGAACAATGCCGCTTTGTTGCCAATAGTCGATTTTCGATTCGCTTTTGTTCGCACTGTCAATTTGTGCCACGTGACCACTCTCACCGAAGCTACAGATTCCCCAACACCCTGCAAACGTAAACAATCACATAAACGTTTAACTTTTGTTTTCAATAATATTTTTGTTTTTGTTATTTTAAAACTATTTTATGTAACTTTGTGTTTTGAAATTATAACCGATAACCACACAAAAGGGTAATAAATAATAATTTTTTATCTCAGGGCTTGGCATACATAAATATTATATCATTATTACTAGGGAAATGGAATATGGTTTATTGCAAAGTGCATGTATTAGCTTTAAAACCTAAGTTCATTAAAGTTTAAATTATGAACTTAACATTACCTTACTGTATCAACGAACTAAACTATTCTCCCAGTATGTGGTTTGTTGCTTTTATAGCTGGGATAAATATATAAAATATAATATTATATTATATATAAATACTCATACTGCTATCCATCCTTATAATTATGACTATCTACTTATAGTATTATTTAATATTTTAGACAATGTAATACGTTTCATTTTTATCTTTCCAAGTATAATTCACATTTTATCTTTATATTTCCTAGTGTTAAGGTTACTACAAAAATGTTATTATAATTATCAACAGTTTTTTTGGTTTAGTCTCGGTTGTGGTATACCTATACCTATTATAGCAAGGTACTCCGTGTCTGGTATAGTGGACCAACAGTTCAAAATAAGTGTACAGCTTATTTCTAACTGTAGGATCTACTATTAAATACTTGCAAGTATATAGCCCGTTACCTAGTGCCACAAACTGCTATAAATATGGTAGTAAATAAAACTCATATCAAATACACTACCGTGGAATATTACGAGATCATTTTTGACATAAAAAAAGGCTGTCAAACTACCGAATTGATATGTAAAGAAAATTAGGTATTTTTTATTTATGTGGGCCCAGACGTCAATTATTAAAGGGAAGCAGAGGGGCCTGCCTCCTCCACCATAGCTCATTAGCTGTGCTATATATGCTAAATATAGTTGTAACATAAAACTTATACTAATACTTTTAAACTTTTATACTTATAAATTATACCTAAGTACGTACATTTATTGTGCATTACAATTATTAGATAATATAAAATTCCTTAAAATCCTAGATCCAACCATGTGTGGACGTCAATTAATAAAAAAAATAGTCGATTGAGCATCAGACCTCAGTGCAACCATGGAGATATAGTGTACTTTTGTGCTATCAACAGTCAACTTGTTAAAATAATACAATTTAAAGAAACCTAAAAATATTATAATATTTCACCAGATTTGTAAAGGTATCTGTAATGTATTATTATAGGTATAAATATAATGTGATAAGATGGGATGATGTGATAACTCACACACCAACACATCAGCATAGTCAATGAACTTTTTTTGTTCACATTTTCATTTTTTCATATCATGTTATGAATTATATTAAGATGTTGTTAAATAAAATATACTTTTTATACTTTAAAAAAAAAATTAATTATTAAAACCCAGAATAATGAGCAATTTAAAAAAAAATATTAAAAGTGGCTTGACGTGGCGCAGTGGCTGAAATCAATCATGCAATGTGATTGAGAGTAAGCAACGGCCCTTGTTATTAGTTCCCAGATGAGTGACCACCCGGGTCCATAGTGGCAAAAACTTTTCCATACCTACACGTGTTGCCAACCAACATAGCAACCGTAAGCCCTACAATAGCTAATTGCCATAATTGTCAGGCTCTATACCAAAAAAAAAAAAAAAAAAATATTTAAGTAAAAGAATCAATTAAAAATATATTATTATGATAAAAATTCAAAAGACAGAGAATTAGTATAAATCATAACAAAAAAATAAATAGTTTTTAAGGAAAATAATATTTGGAAACTTGCTAAAGTATAAAACTTCATAATGCACAAGGTCCAAGGCTCAGCCTTCAAATTTGTGTTTTTTTCTAGACTATACTGAACACCCATATTAACCAATTGAATATTGACGAAACCCGAATAAATGATTCGGGTGCAATGGTGCTAAACCTGATATAATGTGCTCAGCTGGACGGTCACTGGTCAATTAATCATTAATAATATACATAATAATAATAAAATAAATACGCGTATGTAGTACTATCCAGATACAGAAAATAGTAGTAATAATATATTATCACATTCATACATGGTTATAGCAAAAGGGATCACACTGAGATCTTCCCCGCCGATGTCTGATGGTCCCTTTGATCATCGTCCTTCCCAAGGACATTGCCGGGGAAAACTTCAGTTTCAGAGACTCCATGAAAAAAACACATTATTGAATAAAGTACTTTAATTGCCTGCAGGTGGGAAACAGAGGGCGGAACAGACGGACCAGCGGAGTGAGTCAGTCATCGTTCGTTGGGATAATTGGTGGTAGGTAAAATACGTTATATTAAATAATAATAATTAATCAAACAAAATGCGATTGCGGGCAAAATAGTGGCAGAGTGTGTGAGCGGCGATGGAGCTTTCGCAAACTGATGCATATTACCTATATACGCTGCAATGTATACTTAAATATATGTTGGATATCATTCACAAACGGATGAACTTAACTTACACTGAACGTTAAAAGTTTAATTAAATTTCTATATTGAAAACTTCACTATATAATAATTATAATATTATTACGGTAGATCGCAATTAAATTGATTGGTAGATAGGTAGCCCAGAAGTTATTTTCCAATTAATTGCATTTTAAACAGCATTTCGTGGTATTTTAAATGCATTTATAAAGGTTTTAAAATGGTACCTACCATTTTCAATTCATAGCAATAATAAATTATTACTTGCAACATAATGGATCATACATGATAATATGATGTTCACAAATCAGTGATATCAAAGCTTTTAAAATAATAATATACGCGTATCGTCCGTATGTGGTACTTGGTACGTCGTGCAGCACCTACCTGAATACCTATACAGAACATTGTTCTTTGGCTAAGAAAATTATAATTTATTAGATTGCTTCTTAATTTTATATATATAATAATAAATATAATATAATAATATGTAGGTACAATATATTTACAGTATGTATATGGACAATTCAAACATATTATATGACTTCGAGTCTCAACAGAATTACCGAATGTCGAATAGCCATCATATAAAGTAATTCCCATAAACATTCCTATATAACGAAAAAAATCGAATGAAACTTTCCAAAACATTTAATAATTCCGAGCATAGGATATAGAAACCATGTTTTAAATTCGCAATGTACCTATGGCCGTATGCGATTATATTCATTTTATTATAATATGGATCTGTACAGTAACGATATCATGTTAAATGTGTCATTAAAATTGAATATCAAATATAATATTGAATAAACACACGTGAAAAATCCATATTTATTTTATTTATAACTTAACCATTCTACATTATTGTTATGTGTATTGCGTTGTACTGTCTAAATATCTAGGTACCTATGGGCTATGACATATCTATAATATGTATATTTTGAAGAACTTTTGTAGGTACCTTCTATAGATAAAATCAGATATAAGTATTTAAAAAATAAATAATAACTATAGGTACTCTCGCAAACTTAGATAAAAACATAATTAATTAATTAATAATTATTATTAATATCAATTATGTGGATTAAAATATATTTTAATAAGCATCTACAATGGCTACTTCATATTTTAAATATGTATGCATTTATTGATATTGTGATTTTTTTTAAGTGGACACACAAAGTCATACCATGATTACAGAACTATATTACATTTGGCAATGTATTAAGAAACAAATGAAAATAATTAATAGGTACCAACTATTAAAAATATAAATACTGATTTAGTTATTTTGTATTCAAGAAGAAAAAGTATTAGTAAGTATATGTTACAATATTAGGAACATAAGTACATTCCTACCTTAGACGCGGGCGCCGTCACACCCATATTGTTTAATTAATAAACGCTTAGTATTAAGCCACCACAATAACTACGTCATTACTCCATAATAATTAGATTTAGTTTTATATATCACACTTAGTCACACATATTGTACATTTGTACATATTGTAGATGAAGATAGAGCAAGCTATAGGATTATCTTATTGTATTTATAAAATAAAATAAAAGTACGATCAATTATACAATGTATATTTTATTAAGAGCATAATTGATAATTTAATGCTAATTTAGAACTTCTATAACTCACATGTTAAATTCAACCCTTTATTAATAATTCTATTTTAAATCTTAAAAATTTGAATATTCATGTATAAAAATATATAAAATGGTTAAAATGGGTAGGTATTAAAATCCGTGTGTAGGATTTAAGTAGAAAATTAAATTTCCATTGGCAATGAAATGTATTTTAATCATATTCACGAGAAAAATAATAGTTAAAGTATAATATATTATATTAACTAGCTATAAATTACAAGATAAATATAAAAAGGGGTAAATAATTGTATTCGAAATCTGATTTTGAGCGAAGAAGCTGATGGGTCTATCAGTCTATATTACTAAGTAAATTTCAAGGTATGTTTATCCCAAAACCATCGCATTTATAATATTATTAATATTTACTTATTATAAAATATACCCATATTATAATTTATTAGTGTTGTTAATTGTTGAGTCAATACCGCATTCCCATAGAACGATGTGAATAGGTCCGTGGTGTAAATAAGCAATAGCATACAATTGAAATGATAATTTAATTGTGTAAGTATATGTAAAATATAATCATATAATATGTACAATTACAAATCTCCACGGAAAATATTTTTAAATTACAACAAAATAATTAAATTCGTTATTTTTTGTTTAAATATGTAATTAAGTTCGTCCAAATTTGAACTTTAAATGTCTATCTATAAAGAAAATGTGGTGTTTAATATGTTTTTAGATTTTTAGTTTCCAGTATGAGAAACTTTGTAATACATTTTCAAGCCTTAGCTATAAAAATTGATAAGAATCTTATAAATATTTAAATGTATAATAATTTGCAAATTTTGATGATTTTGAAGAAAAGTAATTTATACTTATCATAAATATTTTTACTCAGCTTTAATGACA